ATAGAGGGAGACTTGCCCACTGAGGCACCCAGGTGGAAGAATAAGGCTGAGCCCCTCTGTGCTTACAGTTCAGAGAATGTTCCCAGCGTATCACAATTACAGAAACATCTGTGCCCAACAGTCTTAGGCTGAGCTGCTGTGAGAATGTACCGTGTTCAATTGCTTTCAGAATTTCTCACTTCTCAGCCCGAGGCAGGGTGGTCCCAAAGCCGCCAGTGAATTGCAACAGGAAGTAAGAGAGATTGCAATTTCCAGGGTTTGGGTGAAATGTGGCATAAGGGTGTGAGGGGTAAGCCTGGCACGCTGCGTGCTGTGAGCTTCCACCAACTGATGGTTCCTTCCTTCCTTTTTGGATCAACCCACATGCATTTCCTGAGCAGGACATGAGCTGACTGGACAATGGCTGGAAATTCTGAGGAAGATTTGCTCCACAAAGTGCCAGCTGAGGGAGAAGCACCCAATGGCTAAAAATGATTAACTCATATACAATAATACTTACTTGAAAGCAGGAGATGACAATTCAAACCCTATCATGTACTGTGCTGAATATGTCAATAGGTTTTAATGGTTTTTAAAGTAGTGGAAGGAAAATGAAAGCCAGACCAGTTGCTAGGGAGCCGATTCAACCTCATTTAGAATATCGCTATTTTATTTAGGCCCCCTAATGAGCAATATTAGTATCGCCTGTTAGCGATGCAAATTTTGTGCTTCCCCCACCCATCCCAGATCTCCTATCTGAGAGTCCTGCACTCCTTGCCACAGAGTCAGTTTGGCTTCACTGTGACTCCATTTGTGGTCCAGTAGAAGAATGTCCCATTGGGTTCTCAACAACTGTTTTTTGAGAGTGGATCACCAGGAGTTTCTTCTAAGTGCCTCTGGGTGCACTAGGAATTTCAGCATTTCAGTTGGAGGTCAAAGCCTATTATTTGCACCACACAGGGACCCTACTCTCTGTGAAGAGTACATGAACCCAGAAATCGGTGTGACAAAAAAACTCTTCAGGTGATGCCTGATAGTTTCAAAAACTGATATAGAATATACACAAAGAGAGAAAACAAATCTCAGGCAAAGAAATTACCTAAAAAGCCAAACTTGAATGTCCAGGAGAGAAGGAGGGGTACACCAGGAGGAACAACAATCCACACAGTCTAGCAGACCCTCGGGAGCACTTGAAGGCGGAAGGGAGGTGGGAATTACAGGAGTAGTAGAAGAGTGAGCAAGGGAGATGTTGATCAGGGCTTAGGAAAACCTGAGGATTATTACATGAATAACATGATGGTATGCAAATACCATCCTATAATTAAAGGGGAAACTTTGCTTAAAAAATAATCTTTGTGCATAATTAGAATTATTAGCCCAATCAAGACCCCCGCTGTCATTCTGTACTGAAAACGTCCTCATAATCATCACCACTACCTTATTCAACATGTACAGGTCCTAAGAGACAGGGGCCCTGAGCTCACATCAGCCTCTAAGGCATGTAAGAGAGAAAGGAAAAGCGCACATGAACCTGTGAAGTATGAACTTCTTCAAAACATCCGTTTTTGGTCACACTATAGAGCTTTAAGGAGAGTTCTTCTTCCAGAAGAGTTACTCTTTCTTTGAATGGAGAAAATGAAACTCTGAGAAGACAGATGGGGGGAGGGTGGGACTCAGAAACACACATTTTACTTATGAGAACGTGTAATGATAAGCATATGTAAAGCTGTCCCAATTTATGAGAAATGCAAGTTGCTAATTAGAGCAACAAGATACAGTTTGTATACATCATCTTGACAAAAGATACACAATCGGACGGGATCAAGTGTTGCTGATATGAAGGAATGGAAGCCTTCTGCGCTGCCATTAGAGAAGAAATTGGTTACAGCACATTTAGAAAGCAGGTTGGCATAAAGTTGAATGCATATAACTGTGACCATTCCATTGCTAAATATATACATATCCCCTACAGAACTTTTTGCAGATGTGCCTCAGGAGAAAAGCCCAAGTGTATGTATAACAGAATTGTTCATAACATCCCAACCTGGAGCAACCTGAATGTTCACTGAGAAGCGAAACGCATTACGTTCAGCCCTAAAAATAAATGAATTTCAGTTACATAGTGAAAGTTCACAAATATACTTAGAGGTGAGAAAAACAGGTCAGAGAAAATTGCATTGCCATATTTCTCATTTTACGAAGTACAAAATCAGGC